GACCTGCATAAATTAACGAGACCATCAGCGTTACAATTGGTTGTTTTTGAATGCTTGTTCTTAACGCATGTCCTCTGTGGGGTCGGACTCGGGTAAAATCATGCAGGCCCCCCAGAAAAACTCCTTCAGCTTGCCGTAGGAACTTCCAGGTGGGAAGGGGAGCGCTGGAAGGCATTTTCTTCTCTGGGCAGGAGCAGATGTTGACACCAGGCTGACACCAACACCACGATGCTGGAGACCCGGCCGCATGGCTTGAATGGGACGCCCGGGACAACCAGAACAACAAAAAGCCCAACAAATCATGACAAGTGGGTAAGAATTAAACCCTCATAAAACATCAAAATTGCTGAAAAGCAATGCTAGAAATTGCAGCGTTCTGAACTAGTTGCAGGCGAGAGAGCGACTTTTGGTTGGTGCCAGAGACGAGGGAGTCACAGGAATGGAGTCTGAGGCATGTAGTCATCTGGGCATTGGTTTATGAGTCTACAGGCAGATTTGTAATAGAGGGGAGCCTGTCCTCCATGAATGTGTGAAGGGAGGCGATGGGGAGGTGTATGGGGTGCGTGCAACAGCAGCACGAAAGACAGAGATAAAATCTGATCAGAAAAAAAGACACAGCAGCGAGATGATTGGACAACAACGTAGGTGTGTCGCTGTGCTATTGGGTGCATGTGACCAGCTGAACAGAACAGCTGTCATCGCCATTGGCAGCCCCTAAGCAAATAGGCAGTACAGTATTTCTGACTGGACTTACACTACAGGTGTGGCCATTCTAAGCTGTGTTGAGTTCATTCGAGTTATTCAAACAACAGTGAATGCAACCAAGCTACTTGGCTAGCTCCTTGTGTTGGAGCCGATAAATATTGGACAATCATTACGGTAAGGGTCGCCCAGATTTCCGCTGATTGGAGAAGAAGCCACAAAACAAGTTCCCAATCGAACCCTGACAAAATAACCCTTTGTAAACTGCGAAGGCTGAACCGTGCAGTCGCCGAAATGAGACAGTCTGGCCTCAACATCTGTTCCTGTGCTGCACCCTTTGCCTAGCAACCTGCTGCGCTTCACGATAGAAGCCGTATAACTCAAAAAACGTATAAAGTTTGAAAGAGAAGGCATTAAAAGTACAAGGCCTTTACTAGGCAATCCATGTTCCGGTCCTTGCAGATGACCTGCCGTTAATAGCGCAGCAGGTCCTGGTATTCTGAGGTCGTCGGTTACTAACGTCATGTAACTAAAGCTATTTTTGTAAACTACACTGTGATGTTATACGATTATACATACTTATTTTAGCATGTGTATAGGTAGATGTTCAAGTGAATTCCTGTACTAGGCCTACATTTAAAAGTGAATGCTGCCGGTTCCCCCCCGCTGCCGGATAAGCTGTCGCCATTGTGAATAAAATAAAATCTTCATTGGCCCGCATAGCATCTTGGGATATACATCAGATGTGTCCTCCAAACACTGGAAGGGTCTATTCATTGGCCCCATTGGAAGGAGTCGACAGAATGGGCAGCCCCTGGAGGATGCGGCCCCTGGATTGAGACACAGCCACTGTTACAATGAGGTCTACATTCATCCGAGAAAAGACCACAAACTCCAGGTGTGCAGTCCATCATCTCTCTTTAAGCCCTAAAGAAAGAGCCCTGTCACACCCTAACCGGCCAAGAGGAGAAACGGTATTGGGACCAGCCCAACTCCATCGTCCAAACAAGGATTTACCTGGCATTCTCTAGGGCCAGTCTGCCTCTGGCAGGACTAGAAAAGCAGCATTAATTTGATTAATAGGCTTTTATACATCTTTATGTTGTTGGATCTTATTTTCACAAGATTAGATTGGACAATGCTGTACTGTATGTGAATGACACTCTCTTCTCGTAAATCACATCGTGTGTGCCTGTGAAATATGCATGAATCTGATTTTCATGACGTCAACGGCTGGAACCCTAAGAGGTTTTCCTGCAAAATGTTAGACCACTTCTGATCGAAACTATTTGACTGCATTCATGTTAAAAAATTGTTAACAGCGATAAGGCCCCAATGTGTGAAAGGGTTGCTGGTACAGAATTTGAAGAGGGTTACGTTGTGGAGGGTGCTAGTGAACCAAACAACACAATACTTCCACCTTGTGGTGGGAGAGCACAATGGATGCCAGCTCATACTGCCCCACAATGAAACAATGTATCACGCTGCTCCGTCCTCCTTTTTACCATTTAAATGAGAAAACGAAAATACAGAAATACCAGTGTAAAATGCATATAACATTAGAAGAAAACACACGCACGTGCTTATTGCATATTGCATAACATTTCATTTACAATTAACCATACGGTGGTTAATTGTAACCAACCAATAATGTAACCAGCGGTATACATTATTTTAAAGTTACACATCACAACTTATCATCAGAGGAAGGGGAATTACTTAACACAGTAAACCACGAAAAGAACAAACAGGACCACAGGGCATCCTGGGAATAGATGAATGAGAAAAGGAGTCCATCTGAATATTTCACACGGGGTGGCTCAGGCTGCAGTGCGAGAGAGAGAGAGGGAGAGAGAGAGAGAGAGCTTGCACCACACTTAGGAAATCCCATATCTATAATAACTGGCCTGCGGGTCAATAGGACGCACACAGCTGATACTAAAAGTCCCAGAAGGCACAATCAGAGACATCAGGCCTCAGATGCACGAGCTCTTGCCGACCGTCCTCTGCTTGTTGGAAAAAAGAAGAAGTGAAATCTGAAAGTACTTTGGGTATTAGGCAGACTGTGAAGAATAGCCCACTGACACACAGACCTGTCTCTGTGACACAGGGAGGCAGTACGTGAAGCACCCTTCAGACAAAGAGTTCAAAAAACGACAGGTGAGCACATGTGATTATAAACACGAACACCTCCAACGATATACAGCTCAACGCCAGTAGCCTTAGCCTAGTTTGACGACAAGCCTATATGATCATGAGGTCAGAATGCACATAAAAGTGTTTAAATTGATGCAAAATGGCTACATGCTGGTGGTCCAGGTGGTCCTGGACATCCTGAGGGTGAATCTTTAATGTATCCATCCAGGAGCGGACTAGGGGTAAAAAGTGGCCCGGTAGTTACTGTCAGACCGGGTCACTCCAAAGCATGAATGTTTTAAAAAGCACTATATAAATAAAATGAACAATTATTATTATTAACATTATTTTGAATGATTATCCAGCAATTTACCTGCATGGACACATGGAATAAAATTATACTGGCCATTGTAACACTCCAGGTATAGTTTTCTAGATGAATATGCTTCTCTCTATAGTATCAGATGGTTATACGTATATCTACAGAGCCTTAAGGAATGATTGTCAGCAGAGAAATACCACACAATAAAGACATTGAAATCAGAGGGTAGAATTAGTATGAACTATATCGTGGAAAGGAACAGAACAGAACATACTATGTGTGAACATCAATGGTATCAGTAGTCTTGCATGCTGGGTGTGTGATTGTGAGTGTGTAGAGGTGTTTTGAGGTGCATAACAAAATAATAAGTCGTATCACTAGTCTGATATTTAAATATTTTGTGGCATCTTCCTCCAGACATCTTTTCTATTTCTGTTGGGATATGTTCATTATGTCCTCAGTTGTGGTGAAGGTGTAGTACAGCGCTGATCTGTGTTGTGCATGAGCCACAAGGGGGCACTCGTTTGCATTGTTGTTTTGTTTGTCCCAAACTGTTATATATGAAGAAGTGATGAAGGCTGTCTGACAGTGAGACTGATGTGTCAGCGGCAGCTCGCAGAAAAAATAAATATGCCAAAGACGGCTAAAGGTGCCTCATCTGAATCGTCCGTTCTTTTCCTCCGAACGCAACGTTAGCTGCAAGAATGCGAGCAACGCAACTCAACAATTTCTCCCTGAGATTTTAAGTTCCACCTTTTAAGGCGCGTACCCGTTACCACTCAGACTCTCCTCAGAAGCTCTCCTCTTCTCTCATTTTCTGATCTAGTTATTGAGGATCGACTACATGATTGTGAACCATTTTGGACATGAAAAGTTAGAATACAATGTGGTACCTAGTTTTCACTGCAGCATGGACACTGTACAGGTGCAGGCTGCATGCCTCTTTTCTCTCTCTGACTGGCAGGCACGTGTTCTCCTTACTCTGTGGTACACACACACACACACACACACACACACGGAAACACACATACGTGTCGGAGCTTGTGCAGGAGGTGGAGCGCTATCAGTTGGATCTGAAGCTTGTCTCTACGCACAGCCTTGTCTCTGGAAACGTACTTCTGTATAGGGGATGGACTACTTTCTACTCTGGAGTGGCGCAGGGTGTGAGGCGCCAAGCGAGCAAATATCTCGCGCGAGACGAAGTTTTGCTCGCGCGAGACGAAGTTTTGCTCGCGCGAAACCGGACTTTTGCTCGCGGATGTTTGATTTATGCGCGCGCATCAACCTGAATTGCGCTCTCAAATTTTGACAGTGATTTGCCGCCATAACACCCCCCCCCAAAAAAAAACATTCACGATTCACGTACATCACATATTTTGGTTTCAAAACGGCGAATTTCGCTGATAGGTGAGGGATTTTCATGCCTGGTTGTATCTGGATTTTACATAGAACCGTAGAAATACAAGCACTTCAATAAAATGGCTGGGCTAAATTACCAGAAAAGTTAATTAAATCTTGTTTCCTGTTGGTTTGTGGCTCTAATCAAACATTAAAACCATAACACTACTCCATAATCCACAATACCACGGTGAGTCCCATTGTGAGTTGATTGGCTGATCCTCCTGGCGTGCTTGGGCTGCAATATTCCATCCCAGATGTGAAACTCAACTCTTAATTATAACTTTCCCAAAGTAAGAATAAACAAGTTTTGTGGAGAATTGTAACCCACACACAGCTACTGAAAGGTATGCTAACAACCTCTTACAAAAATGCATTGTATGAGTTCTGAAAGGGTTCAAAAACTAAGGACCTCAAGTTGACAAAACTCAGAGTCTAATGTATTTTATTGAGTTTTGACCATAACAGAAGTTGAATGTAGAGGATTAAGGGGAGGAAGAAGCCTATCTGATGATCTTGTAGACAGTCCTTGGCTGCTGGTAAATCTGTGAAAATCACAAATAAAATGTGTGAATATCTCATACAGCTCCAAACTAAAACAGAAAACTACAATTATCTGTAAAAATTCTACCTAGGTCATCAATTTGCATACATTTAAAGAAATTCTGAGGGAAGGCTGAGGGCAACATCTGCAACAGGTTGGCAGTGACTGGAAGCTGTTTCTCATAATTGACTGGTGGAGGCCAGTAGAGGCTGTAGATGGAGGTTCGGGTAGCAGACGTCTACCAGAAACAAGTGGAGGTGGAGTTTCAAGTAAACGGCTGGGACCAGAGATGGAGGTTGAGGAAGGCTGCTAGAATTTAGTATACTGAAGGCTGGAGGTGTCGGGTGAAAGCTCAGGCATGGAGCTGGACCAAGAAGGAGGTTTAGCAGGTTTATGGAGACGTCTCATGGGACTGACAGATGGATGCAAGGGATGGAGGTTGCTTCTAAGGTTTGAATGCTGGAGGATTTTAGTTGCTGAAGGACGCTGTAAAAAGAGGTTTGAATTTCAGCTGTCTGCAAAACACTAGAGATGGAGGAGGCCCCTGCAGTTTACTGGCAGAGACTGTAGGTGAAGGTTTGGTCTGCAGCAGTCTGCCAGTAAAATACAGGCGGAGGAGGCTCCTGCGGTTTGGTGCCAGAGGCTGTACATTTGGCTTGCAGCTGTCTGCCACACACAGAAGGTGGCGGGGGCGCCTGCAGTCCATTAGCAGGGGCTGAAGTTGGAGGTTTGACTTGTAGGTGTCTGCCAGTAAAATGGAGGTGGAGGCATCACCTGCAGTTAACTGGCAGAGGCAATAGGTGAAGGTTTGGTCTGCCTTAGCCTGCCAATAAAATAAAGACAGAGGACATACTTGCAATCTACTGCCAGCCTGGCACAGGTAGTAGGTGTAGGTTTGACCTGTATGTATTTGCCAGTCAGGTAGAGGCTCTTACAGTTTACTGGCAGAGGTTATGGGTGGAGCTTTGGATTGCAGATGTCAAGCAGAATCTTCAAGTCGAGTTTCAGGTCAAGAGCAATGACCAGAAATGGAGGTTCAGGAATCTTGCTAGCCTTTAGTAGACTGAAGGCTGTATGTGTGGGGTGAACGCTCAGGCCTGGTCCTGGACCAAGCTGTTGAGGAGGTTTCCGCAGCTGTCTTCCAGGATTGACAGGTGGAGGTCAGGGATGGAGGTTGGCATGGAGGGCTGGCGGATTGTGGTTGCTGAAAGAGGACTGGGGTTTCGGCCAGTATGTCATCCCGTACAGTGCAGGCGGAGGAGGCACATACAGTTTAGTGGCAGAGGATGTGGGTGGAGACTCGGCCTGTAGCTATCAGCCAGTAAAATGCAGGTGGAGGCAGCACCTGCAGTTAAGTGGCACAGGCTATAGGTGAAGGGTTGGTCTGCAGCAGTCTGCCAGTAAAATAAAGACAGAGGAGGCACCTGCAGTTTAGTGGCAGAGGGTGTTGGTGAAGGCTTGACCTGTAGCTATCGGGTAGTGAACTGCAGGTGGAGGCAGCATCTGCAGTTAACTGGCAGAGTCTACAGATGAAAGTTTGGTCTGCAGCAGTTTGCCAGTAAAATAAAGGCGGAGGACACACGTGTGTAGCCAGCTTGGCACAGGTTGTAGGTGTAGATTTGACCTGTACGTACCTGCCAGTCAAACGTAGGTGGTGGAGGCTCTTACAGTTTACTGGCAGAGGTTGTGGGTGAAGCTTTGAACTTCAGATTTTAAACAGAATCTTGAAGTTGAGGTGAGTTTCAAGTCAAGAGCAGGGACCAGAGATGGGGGTTCAGGAAGCTTGCTAGTCTTGCAGGCCGAATCCCCTGGCCTCTGGCAGAAAGAGGCCTGAGGAACAGAATAATCTTGGTGGAGCATGTTAAAGCAGCTGTCTGCTGCCTTAGGGCAGAGGCCAGGACAGCAGATGGCTTTACGTAATATGAAAGTAAGATTTAGTTTAGAAGGCACTTTAAACAGATTGGTGGAGGATTGCACAGTAACTTCAGAGGAAGTAGGTGGAGATAATAAGTTTGTCTGTCATACAGAATTGGAAGGTGGAAGCATCAATACTGAAATACTATAAAATAAAATAAATACAGCTTGATTAAACCTCAAATCTTTACACCATGTAAATCATTTTAATTTGAATAAGTAATTTCAAACTCAGATAAAGTCCTTTCAAATGAATAAACATTCTTCTTTGGATCATAGTGTCGGGTATTACCTGGAGCTTCAGTGTGTGTTTTGCACCACCAGCTGTCAAACTGGTCTCTCCGCTTCAGATAAAGCCTCATGTCTACCACCCACTCCGGCTCAGGCTGGTCCCATAACGGCCGACACTCAACAGGACTTACTTCGAATGGTCCCCTGGGTCCTTGAGGAGGTTCAGGGACTCTTACCTTTAAAGATTGAGCAGGTCCCTGAGGTGGTTCAGGAGGACTTACCTTCAAAGGTTCACCAGGTCTCTTAGGCGGTTTTGGGGGCCTGTCTTTTGAAGGTTCTCCTCGTCCCTGCGGGGGTTTAGGGGGGCTTACCTTTGTAGGCCTACCTTGTTCCTGGTGCTTAATGTTACCCGGAGTTCTAGCGTCTTGTTTGCACCACCAGCTGTTTAACTGGTTGACCCACTCCACTCCATCAAGCCTCCTGTTTTTTACTGGTCAGGGGACTTACCCTTAAAAACTTACCTGGATCCTGAGTGGTCAGGGGGCTACCCTTACAGACTTACCTGGTCCCTGATGTGGATTAGAGCCACTTTGGAAAACCCCATTAATAAGTTATCATTTTGCACATCAAACAGAACATGTGACAAGGGGACTTTTCTCCAGTACAAACAGACAGTGAGTGCAACAATAGTTTGTTGCAGAAACTTCTTTAATTGAACAAAAGACAAAACGAATGTAGTGGTTTTGAGGGCATGGAGGAACAATAGGAAGTCTAAGCTCTGCTTGGATCAACAATATTGAAAACTAGAGACCAAGACGTAGGTGTAGGTGCCTAGGTGTAGCAATGGACTGTGGATTTTAACAGCCACATGAAGTCAATCTACTAACAGAACCTGATAGAACTAACCTTAAGAATATATTTTAAGGATTAAAGGATTTATGTCTCAGGAGTAATCATAATGTTTCCATGGACCATTTATCTGAAATAACGTACCTTCTCTTAAGTCGCCTTGGGGTGGAAATTGGGGAGATGGTACAGGAAGATTTAGAGGAGGAGCTGGAAGAAGAACTAAAGAAGGGCCTAGAAAAAGAACTAGAGGAGGAGCTAGAGGAAGAATTAGAGGAGGAGGAGGTAGAAGAAGAGGGAGAGGAGAAGGTGCCAGAGGACTCAAAGGAGGGAGGAGACGGCCAAAAGGAACACCCACGTGCACAGCGAGTGGAGGAGCCGGTCTTAGGTTTTGAGACTGGGATTTTATGGAAGATGAGCCGTGGGATGCCTGACCGGTTGGGGTCCAGGATGGAGAAAGTCCTCCACATGAAGCATCGCTTCGCCTGAAGGTCAAACAAATACAACCATCAGGACTGTTACATCATATGGACTTTATCACATCACATATTAATTAAAGCCACCATGCTGTCATACAAAATTGAAAGTACCAAAAAAAACATTTTTAAACGTCTGCCAGGTCTGTGCGCAAGACCCACAGAATGAGTGCCAATGAGCCATGTTTAGTATAGAATATTTGGTGCATTTAAAAAAATCATTATTATTATTGGAGGTAGAACAAATAACAGTATTTTGTATAATTCTGACAGTATCAGGTTCTATCACAGTGGTTTTTTCAGTACACAGGTTCATTTATTGACCGCCGGCCACCTGAACAGCTGTTCACTGCTCACTGGCCAACTTACTTGCAACTGGCCAGCAAATTAACGTGTCAGCTGTTGTTATTCTTTTGTATTCATAATGAATGAATGAAGATTAGGGTGTGTAAAGCTATATCTGTCATGGCATCCCATCCTTTTGTCAGATAGATGGAGTCAAAGCGTTCGGCTTGCTGTGGCAACGTCCAGCACAGGACCCAGGTCATTCCATCTCAACCAAATATGTAGCCGCCAAATTCACAATTTTTGTGAGTATTTATAGCTAAAAACTTGTCAATAATCCTCTTCCAGGAAAAATAACTAAAATCTCTCCAACCTCTAGACATCAAATCCTAGAGATTAGTTTATACTTGCCATTGTGAAGATAGTGACGTGATGACCAGGTGAATTTTTCTAACTTCTTGTGCGATCTCATAACTATCACTAATAGTTCACAAATAAAAGCATAATAAGGCATAAAAAAAAAGATGCCTTAGAAACAGTACGTCCTTAAAAATGTACAATTGAATAAATACTTTCCAAAACAAATAGTTTACAGAATACTTAATCTTGGTTTCTTTTAATGCATTTTAAACTTGACTTATTTCTTTAGAGGAATTAAAGTAGGCAGGGCAATAAAGTAGTCCATGAAGATAAGATATGGGTCTATAGGTTACAATCCCCCCTCAGCATTGTGGAGGTTAGTTTATGTTTCACTGTCTGTAGGTTACGCAAGTTCTCTTTTCGATTCCTCAAAGTTCATTTAGTTTATTCAGGAGATTAATGCAATGCAAAAGATTAAAGGCCTCCGCTCATGACAGTTTTACTATGTTGTTGAATCAAATAAAAAGAGTGTTTGGAGCGACCTCTAGCGTGCACGGAGCAGCAACTAAACACTGTAGAGGAACAGAGATGAAAAACAAGCACTGCAGAAAAAGGAGCGACACCTGCTGATGCTGAGATCGTCCGAACTGACAAACAGACAGTATCTTTAAGGACCTTTAATGTTTTCACTTGGTTTACACACAGTTCATCTATAATAAGAGACTGTTCAGTGAAGACAATATACTTTTGACAGACCCTCAAACCTCCCCCTTTTGTATTTTTGTTTTAGTTTGTGTTTTGTTATTTTTCACTATTTGTAAATATATATATTTTTTAAGTAATCAAACAGGGAATGCACTTTGAAGTCAACACGCCTGTGTGAGATGAGAAAGCAAGAAAGCATCAAAACAGCTGTGTGGCGTTCAGGTTGTTGGTGTTCTTACCGAGCTCCTGGAAGGAGAGACAGTATCCAAGCTGCCAGGGTCGCGGTCAGGTGTGGGACCAGGTGAGAGGCCGATCAGGGAGGCTGGTCCTCTGATCCTGAGGATGGACCGCAGGATGCCGGGCCGGTAAGGGTCCAGGATCTGGACGCTGGTGTAGCCGCAACGTTGGGCCATCTGAGGGTAAAAACCAACACAACCTTCAATGATGCACAACCACTGATGCACATTGTTTATTCTATATATGAATACATGTGTTGACATTATGATTCAGTCAGGAAGCTGTATTACAGTCTACACAGACTAGTTTCACACGGACTACATTTAAAAAAAGGCTATTTGAAGCTGCTGATTGACTAATGGTCGGTAGCATGTCAGCACGATGTGGATAACAAATATCTCTGCTGCTCATCGTGTTAATGTTCATGAGTGACACGTGACACTGAACGAGCTTCGGTGTAAAAGAGCCTCCTAATAAATGAAAAGCATCACTAGTAAGGAAGGAAACGGGTGAATTGTGAACCTATTGAAATATATTGTCATGGGTGCACCACTTATTGATCATAGTGTCAAGTAGAAGTTATATGAATGTATCAACAATATCTTTAGTAGCATTTCTCAGTTCAAGCTAACGTTAAAATGCTGAACGGTGTTGTGTATCAAGCTAACCAAGTAAGCAGCTTTAGTTTAGATAAACGTGTTTAAACTTGGTCACAACCCTCACAAGTCTATCCCAGTAGTTTAAGTTGCACTAATTATTTCAAATATGATACAAATATTAGCCTAAACATCGGTATATTTTGGGGTTTAGAGAGGGTCAACGGTAAAATACATGAGACAACAGTGGCTAAGAAAGTGTATAAATCTCACTTCTGTCCTGCAAAACGTTCTCTAAACTTTGTCAGTAGGTCACAAGTAGACTTCTGGATGCAAAGAATCGCTGTCTGAAGGTTTCGTCGGGAGAGAGAAGAAATGTCTGCTTCTCTGACGGATTGAATGTGAGTTCTGTGAAGACTCTGTAATTTTCTAAAAGATGCATGTTGTGGTAACCCTGGTAACCACGGAGTGTTCAGGTCCCTGCTTACTCACACCTTCATCCGGTCCAGATCAAGTCCTCCTCTGCAGAAACAGCTATTAAATGCAGGTTCATGAGGAATATCCACACCGACCTGAGCTTGGACTCAGTGTCTCCTGTCATGTTAGAGAGACATGTGACCTAGCATTCTCCACCCAGGGCTGTTACAAAATACTGTGTTATAAATGTCAAATAATACACAAATGCATGTTTTCCTGGAGCTTTGTACACTGTCTGTAGTCGTCCAGTGTCCACTGACACTGATGTTTTACACGTTTCCTCCATTGTTGCTGTCAATTTAGAGACATGAAGCCATACTTTCAGAATAAGTGAAAAAGTCAATTTGAGATGAAAATGAAAACAATTTCTGCATTTTGTTGCTTGTTCACATTTTCTGTGTCTCCTGGCCATAGTCGGACAAATGTCTCTCCAAAGACATTCTATTGACGCAGGGGTAGAGAGTGTGCGGGAACTGCAAGGTTGGCGGTTCGAGCCCCGGCTGCTCCATGTCCCATGTCAAAGTCAAGTCAAGTCAAGTCAAGTCAAGTCATTTTGTATAGCCCATTATCGCAAATTACAAATTTGCCTCAGAGGGCTTTACAGTCTGTACACATACAACATCCTCTGCCCCGAAACCCACCATCGGCACAGGAAAAACTCCCCAAAAAATGAAAAAACCCTTACAAGAGTGAAAAAAGGGAAGAAACCTTAGGGAGTCAAAGTGTCCCTGAGCAAGACACCTAACTCCTAATTGCTCCCTGGGCAAAAATGTAAAAAGCCATGGGTTAAAAATGCAACGTAAGTCACTTTGGATAAAAGCGTCAGCTAAATGACCTGTAATGTAATGTAGAAGTCAAATGTTTGTTGTGTTTTATCTTACAACATGAGCATTTAAAAAAACATTATTATCTATTTATAAAAATCCAATATAAATCATTCTCTGTCCAGGTTATTTCAATTTCCATTTTCTTCTTTTCTTCGCTTGTTCTACTGTGTTCAACGCTCTGATAAGATGATCTCCAGATTTAAAAATAATAAGATAAGAAACACTTGTATCGTGTCTTCGTGAGGTCATAGGTGCTCAGTTGGAATTGTTTATGTTTATGATTATGTTCATTTATCAAACCATTTCACTTGTTTCCTGCATTGAAGCATCTGCTACTCATTTATCTAGGGTTTTTCTTCCATTTGTCACCTGCTTATGTATGACATTGGTGTTACATTCTGAAACCAAAAAGCAAACAAAAGACATTTTCTCTGAGTGAGTAGCAGCCGAGTCTCTCTATATTGCGTTATGATTCAGTACCACTTGAACACTTTTTAGCTCCAACAACTTAACAGTCCTCATGTCTTTGTTCTTCAAAAACCTCTGGGGTGTGTCCCGAATGTGAATGGCTGCAAATTCAAACATGTGTCCTCCCATGTTGGCCTCTGCCACATCCCTTTCTTCTCCAAGGTATTTCTGACTCGCATGGCTCCATCTGATGGTCGAATCTCAAATCCGTCACTGACCTGACCAATCCCTATTCACTTAGTACTACAGTACATTCAATGATCACACCATTGGCTTAAAGCTACTTCATGTAAACATAACATAGCATGCATAATAGCAACATCATCTAATAGCTAGTACACTTTAAAAATAACACATCTTAAATCATCACAATTCATCACATTTCAACCATTAGGTTTAACTCAGTTCTATTTGGTATAAAATCAAAATATTTGCCTCGCAGGGCTGTCCTACATCTTTTGCTCATTCACAACCTGACAGGAGAAGAAACTTAAAAAAAAAAACTCTTTGAGGAGAAAATGTGGAAGATATCGTTACAACGTTACATTGTGGCAGGATGTTAATGTGTTGTTTGATTGTTTTGATTAATATAGCAGTTATGTAATAACTAATATCTAATAACACACAAAACTACAATAACATTAGCTCTTCATCTTAAATCCCTAACAGCGCCGGATGGTTTTGCTAAGTACATAATTTGCATTTCTATAAAAGTAGCTGCTGTTCCTAATCAGTCCACGGGGGGTCGCACTCTGTGAGTGAGCGGGGCACAGAAAATGTGGTAGTGCTAATTAGCGATTTCATTTAAAAAGCAACCCTGGCTGACACTAATCAGTGCAAGTCATCCGAGTAAGGTAATGAATAAAAGACAGACGAGGGGCTTGTTTTTTTTTTAATATCGATTTGTTTTGTGCTCAATGTATGGAGCGTTGTTGTTTCGTTTGGTTATCATTACTGCTCGTTGTTATTATTTTTCGGTGCAAACTGCCAGAGCAAAGGTTGGGGTAGGCATTGGGACGGGTCGTAACGACCAACGGGGAGATTGCCATGATTGAAAAGTTGAATGGAAAGTAGCTTGCGAGCTGAAAACGCGTACCGGGCACCCCTGCTTTAGATCTTAGATGGACCACAGCGTTCCTCCAGGCAGCAGCGCCCGCTCGAACCATCGCCTATGATTTTACTGGTCTGGTATGTGACAGTACAATTAGTTCATACCAAACTGACCTAATGAAAGTGTTTGTTTCTATACAGGGTCCTTTCCACTTCTCTCTTAGTCTCTTACTTTATTTTGTACAGCCCAAAATTGCAAATTACAAATTTGCCTCAGAGGGCTTTACAGTTTGTACACATGCAACATCTTCTGTCCCGAAACAATCACATCGGCAAACCATCACAAGGAAAAAAAGAGAAACCTTAGGAAGAACGTCAGAGGAGGGATCCCTCTCCTGGGATGGACAGACTACAAGGTGTGTACAGAATGAACAAAAGGTGTACACTACATTCAAGTCCATAAATTATATTAAATTATTCAAATATTGCAATTCCATCATTGAAGGGACAACCACAATAACATATAACCACCACCCACAGAAGCCTGTGGGGAGGGAAACCACAAAGACTTTAGGAAAGGGTAATGTCGGTTTATGATGACAATAATAGTAATATGATTCATATTTTAATGATGATGATGGTGTAGAAGGTGTCAGCAGGGCCATGGTAGGAGGCAGGAACAGAGTCCACATATAGCCATGATCAATGGAAACCTGTGTGGCGAGAAAGCACAAATACTACACTAACAATGTTAGTGATGCGCATGAATGTTTACAGCAACAGAAATTGGAATATCAATGGTGTCAGAAGCGGTAGGTGTCAGCAGGGCCAGGCAGGAGTCCATAGATCCACGGAAACCTGCAAGGCGAGAAAGCAAAAAAACTCCAGGGAAGAACCTGAATTAGTGATGTGAATTAATGAGATTAATGAGAATTATTATAGATGGAGAGTGACTGAGAAAGAGAGGGTTAGAGAGGAGCTCGGTCTGTCCTATGAAGTTACCGGGCAGTCCACGCCTATAGCAGTTTATCTTAGGGCTGGTCCAGCCATAACCATAAACATTATCAAAGTTTTAAGCTTTATCTTATATGAGCTGACAGCGTCTGCCCCCCAGACTGGAGTGGAAGCTGGTTCCACAAAAGAGGAGCTTGATAACTGAAGGCTCTGGCTCCAATACAACTTTTTAAGACCCTAGGAACAACAAGTAACCCAGTATTTATGGAGCACAGCTCTCTAGTAGGGCAATATGGTAACATGAGCTCCCTAAGATAAGACGGTGTCTCACCAGCAAGTGCCTTGTAAGTGAGGAGAAGAACCTCAATTATTTTTCATTATTTAGCAGGGAGCCAGTGCAGAGAAGCAAAAACAGGAGTAGTATGATCCCTTTTTTTAGTTCCTGTTAATACACATGCTGCAACATTCTGAATCAACTGGAGAGGCTTTATTGACTTATAAGAGCAGCATATTAATAAAGAGTTGCAGTAATAGAGGTAACAAATGCATGAACTAGTTTTTCTGCATCACTTGGAAATAAGAAGTTCCTGATGTTCGATATATTACGTATGAAAAAAGGAAGTCCTTGAAGTCTGCTTTATCTGAGAGTGAAACGACAGATCCCAGATGAAGAGAACTCCAAGATTCCTTACGGTGCTGCTAGATTCCAGAGAAATTACATCCAGAGAAACTATATCGCAATACAGCTGACTTCAAAGGCGCTCTGGGCCAATCAAGATAACTTGTGTCTTGTCTGAGTGTAGCATTAGGAAGTTGCTAGTATCTAAGTTCTGATGTCTCCAAGACATTCCTGAAGTCTAACAAGCTAGTCTCATCTGGCTTGATCGAAAGATACAATTGAGTATTGTCTGTATAACAAGGGTTTTTAACAAAGTTTATGCTGTTTTTTCTAATGACATCGCCCAAAGGAAGCATAGGGTAAATAAAATAAATAAATAAAATCGGTCCAAGCACTGAACCTTGTGGTACTCCGTGACCAACATTGCTTATCATTGAGGATTCACCGTTAACAAACAAAAACCAGGATCAATTTAATAAATATGACTTGAACCAGCTAAATGCAGTTCCTTTAATGCCAATCAAATGTTCTACTCTCAATGATCAATGGTGTCAAATGTGGTGCTGAGATCCAGCAAGCAATAATTGTCTTTTCACAAGGCAAAAACACAAAAAAGCAAAAAAAACAGGATTGCTTTCATTTTACAATTGAAGCACAAAAGCTTCTACTTTCATCATCATTAAGTGTAAATGGTATGTGAAAAAGCTCCACGCCATAAAGGAATTGACAGTGCCGTCTTGTTGAACTCAAATCCACCCAATACAGAGGTCAACAAGTCACCACTCACCATACGAGCTGTTAAATGGCTAAATAGATCAATGAACTGTCAATAAAAAAAAGACCACGCCCGAGGCATAACGCATACATTTTTTTCCTCTTCATGTATCACTATTTTAGGTGTATGGCACTAAAGATTAATTGTATTTTTAGAATGAAATGGCCCCTATGGCCAGAGGTATCACCAAAAGTACTTTTGACCATGATCTCAAAAGGATTTTATGGATCCTCACCGTCACCTTACTTTGGATTAGCTAATAATACTGTTACTAATAGTGCTGGGTCTTTTTAAAGTGTGATTTAGGGACATCTAGAGACAATGTTACAGACTGAAACTTTGTACTTGTGTAGAAGAAATCCTGTGTTTTCTTAGACACAGGACACAGGATTTCTTAGAAACTCTCTTAGAAACATGGCCAACTCTGGGGACCTGCTCAATATTTGTTCCAATGGCTTATTGTACAGTAAAACAAGGATATATATACTAGATATTTTCAGTGATAATATGCTTAAAATAGACATAAAGTAATATTAATAATTGTATGTTGATTGATTCTAGTCAGAAAGATTAATTCAATGGAATTAAAATTAATACTTTAATTCACTGGCATCAAGGAATTCAAACAAATGCATAATTTTCCTTCAGTAAACATATGTTTTTATTTGGTTTGTTAGCAAAAACAGCACCTCAGGACAGTATGATGCGGGCAGCATCCTAAGGGGTCGAACACCTACAGTTTCAGGACACGCTCAGGGAAGACATGCACTACCTAATGTAGCAGACCACTTTAACAACACTACCGTTTATTCAACACTTGTTAAAGGTAACAGCCCTTTGTGCATATGTTAGATGTTGCATAAATTTTAAGGGAGTGTTATATACTATATTCTTACTTTCTGTGACATAACTACTCTTTTTTTAGCTCAGACAATCATAGATCAGACATACAAAATAAATTCTTTGGTCCCTTTAAAGATCTTTAGTAGTGTTGGGATCATTTATTGCTTCATGGAAATGTTACAGGCTCTATTGGAGAGCGGCTCGCAAGCGTTTTACTTCATAGTTGGGGGATATGGTAGGGTGGGTGAACTGTAAGTACAAAACTAACAGAGAGGCAGAGATAATAGCAGACCGGTAACAACACCTCTAAACCTGACAGCTCAATCCGCAATGACCTCAGAAGACTCGGACACCACTCTGCCGTCCCTGGTCTCGATCATCTTGATAACAACGTTCTTCTTGTTCTGGACTGTGCTGTAGCTGCCACCACCGGTGCTGCCGCTGCTGAAGCCGCCGCCGCTGCTGTAGCCGCCGCCGCTGCTGTAGCCACCACCGCTGCTGTAGCCGCCGCCCATGCTACCGCCGCTCATGCTCCCGGAATATCCGCCTCCATACCCGCCGCTGAAACCGCTGGAGTAGCCGCTTGAGTAGGTGCTCTTCAAGTCTGCGGGGTAACCACCGTAGCTTGCTGTTGAAAGACAGATTTAAACTGTTCAGTGTGGGAAACTTACAAAAAAACGTAACCAGAATCTATTCATTCAAGACACTTAGTTATAATGTGAGTAGGGACCAAGACAATGACTTACAGCTCTGTTGGGAGATGTTGATGGACTTGATGCCAGTCGCTAGCCTGTCCTCCTCTCCCTCCAGAAGTTTCCTGTATGTGGCAATCTCAATGTCCAGAGCCAGCTTGACGTTCATTAGGTCCTGGTACTCTCTGATCTGGCGGGCCATGTCCTGCTTGGCTCTTTGCAGGGCGTCTTCCAGGTCCCTGATGCGGGCCTTGGCATCCTTCACGGCCAGCTCACCACGCTCCTCGGCCTCGGCGATCTGGGCCTCCAGGTTGGAGCGCTGGGAGAAGAACAATCCCTCGTCAAAGAAAGTACGACTTTTGCCACTATTCTTTTCTATTCTTATTAAAGAATACTATATTATATTATATACCATAGCTCATGAACCATGGCACCAAAACACTTTTTACCATACCTGTCCCTTGATGGAATCAATCTCTGATGTCAGTCTCTGGATCATGCGATTGAGGTCTGAGATCTCGGTCTTGGTTGCCCTCAGGTCATCTCCGTATCTACTGGCGGATGTCTGCATCTCCTCATACTAAACAAAAACAATACCAGACATTACAAACGTGAAACCCTATTGATCAGAACACTGCATGGGCTGAATCTTGAACAAACGAATGCTACTGAGCTTCCTTTTGGTATACATTGAACCAATAAACATGGAAAGTAGGGTTTGCATGTGCATTGCCTGTACCTCTCTCGATAAGGAAATTACAGAAATCGAAAAAGGAAATGATTCAAAAGAACCTTTCACTCACCTTGCTTTTGTACCACGTCTCAGCCTCAGCGCGACTTCTGTTGGCGATGTCCTCATACTGAGCCTTAACTTCAGCCACAATAGAGTCCATGTCCAGGTTGCGGCTGTTGTCCATCTCCACGATGACTGAAGTGTCCTTGATCTGGCTTTGGAGCTCACGAAGCTCCTGAAAAGAATTGGTAAACATCGACTTTAATCGAGGAAGTGCACTGCAAGGGGCGAAACATAAACTGAGAAAAATCAGGGAAACAAACAACTGAGGGGATTTTTATGCTGTACCTCCTCATAGATCGACCGAAGGAAGTTGATCTCATCTGTCAGACTCTCCAGCTTGGCCTCCAGCTCAACCTTATTCATGTAGGCCTCGTCAACATCCTGGAACCGATAAAGCGTATTAGAATGGGACATCACAGGAGAATTTGGAAAACTCAAAGGGCAGTTGATTAACTGCTGATGCTGACCTTCTTGATAAGGACAAAGTCGTTCTCGCACTCTGTGCGCTTGTTGATCTCATCTTCATACCTGAGAGGGAAAACAATACATCTCAAATTTCGATTTTTTGTCTCTTATCATGCTTCTGTGTAGTTTATACAGCAACACCACACTAGGAGGCGCCAGTAGTCCATACCCAAACTCCTCTGGGACAATTGTCTCAAGCAAAGGGGCGTGGCCTGAGGTAACCCTGCCCCCAAAACAACCAAATTCAGCTGATGCAATTTGTCTCAGGTCTCTCAACTCTAATGTGCATAAATATTATTTATATGAGCATTCAAAGGGTTGAATGTTATCTTTACAAGATTGTAAACTTTGTTTTAGCTGCAGCTGTAAAGCTTTACAAACTCTGTAAAACCTACAGGCACATGTAATGTAATGCGTGTAAAGTCAATGGGTGCTTGGAATATGCTTCCGCAATGCTGTAATTCCCTACAGTTTTTGTATGACGCAAGACAATGGATAAATGTAGGGAGTAGTCCACAAGTAGTGGGTCTTGAAGCATTAATAGAGAGTGTAGGCATTTAGAAACATGTCCAATCCAACTGAAATGAAAAAGGTGAATCCCAGTTTCCATCTTCATGGGATAGGGGTAGAACGAGTACGACTGCATGGACCAGTTCATCTAAGCCCATCATTGACCCCCCTTTCCCCTCCCTCCTGATCCCGTTCACACTCACTTGTTCTTGAAGTCCTCCACCAGGCCCTGCATGTTATGTAGGTCGGCCTCCAGCTTCATCTTGTCGTTGCCCAGACCGTCGAGCTGCCTGCGCAGGTTGGTGATGTAGGCCTCGAACATGGCGTCAATGTTGGAGCGGGTGGTGGTCTGTCCTTGCAGAAGGTTCCACTTGGTCTCCAGCATCTTGTTCTGCTGCTCTAGGAAGCGGACCTAACGTGGGGAAAAGAAGATAGAGTTAGCAACCAATCCACAAAGCTATCTTGGAGAATCAGTCTCTCTCATGCTTGTGTAAAGTAAAACATTTGCAAAGATGGAACTCCTTCACATTGGGTGTAAATTATTATGAAAACCTATGACGCTCTGCCATGTCAAAACAAGATCCAGCTCCCAAATACTGAAGCATCAGGATCAACCTGGCCATTCCTCCCATTCATCTTCTCCAGTCATTTATGTTGTTATCTAACTTCGCAAGCTGCTGTTGGCTCAGTTTCAGAATGGTCAGGCTTTTCCAAAGGAAGGCCCGGCCTACGAGCATCCTGAAAGGAGGCGGAGGGGGTTTGGAAAAAACAGCTGATGGAGGTAAAGTTAACCCTTCTCCTGCATGTCTTCCTGTTTTTGTAAAGTTTAGTTTGCCAGCAAATAGCCAAAATACAGAGAGAGAGAAGAGGAGGGGGTTGGGGTGGGGTCACATCCGCAGGCAGATGCAGGAAGGTAAATATTGAACGTTGTTATCAAGGTGATGATCTAGGCAGAGTAGAGAGTTAAAAAGAGGTGGAGGGAATACCTGTTGGAGCGAGTTTGCATTTGTGAACAATTGAAAAACCTTGGACCTTGATCTGACACATTGCTCCCTACAGGTAGGTCCCTACCGAGAACTTCATTTAACCAACGTAGAAAGGTTATGGAAATGGACTGCCGTGGTGCTTTGTCTCCAAGCATGCAAAACTGGCTTTATCTTCCTGTTAATAACCGCTGCGACGGGAGAGGGAGAGCTGATACGTAGCCAGTCAGCTGATCAGAACATGAAACCTTTTTAAATATTAACCCATTGCCGAGGCCTCTGAGGAAACACACATACACTCTCAAACACTTCTCAGTTTCACATGCTGATTTGAACGATTTTAAGTTAACAAACTCCCAATCAACACCGCTTTTTATAATGGGTCAGCCATGAGAGAGGGTTTTGGTCTTTAAAGGTATTGATGGCACTCAAATGTGACTGTGTGTGCGTGTGTGGGAGGGTTAGGGGCCACCAGGGCAGCACAAAGAACCACACCCCAGCCGAGGGAGGGATCATTCTCAAGGTAACCCGTATCACAATCCCAGAGCTCTGCCCTGACACACCCTTATCTTTCCCTTCTCTCACCCTCTCTCTCTTTCTTTCTTCTTGCCTTTCTGCAAGTCTGTTTTTCATCACTATAAAAGGGTAGCCTGAGCCAAACTTTAGAGAGGCCAAAACTTAGCACGGCGGCACATTTTTATTTATTTCTGCCTTTGTGGGAGATCACGGCAGCATGGGGGAGGGGGTGCTGAGTATTGAACTCTATCTGCACAACAGTTTCTGATAGAGAGAATCATTGAGCTTTTCTGACTACATCATGACTGAGCTTTGCACGTACTGATAGAGGTTTTTCCCATGTGAAAATGACCCAACTCATCATGTCTTAGATTACAAGCTCTTACCTTGTCAATGAAGGAGGCGAAGCGGTTGTTGAGGGTCTTGATCTGCTCCTTCTCCTGGGTGCGGACCACTTGGATGTTGGGGTCAATTTCAAGGTTCAGGGGGGCCAAAAGGCTCCTGTTCACCGTCACGGCAGTGATAGGGGCCTGGCCGCCCATCCCGCCGCCAAAGCCCATGCCACCGCCGTAGCCCATGCCACCACCCATGCCACCCCCCATGCCACCACCCATGCCACCACCCATGCCACCACCCATGCTTGAGTTCAAGCCATAGGCGGCGGAGCTGGTGATGCCCCCGAAGCCCCTGTTGCCTCCTCCATAGGAACTCTTGACGCTGTAGCTCCTGCGGCTGGTCATCCCGCCCGGTCCAGCGTACGAGCTGCTGCTAAAGTTCCGGGGGGCCGTGGAACTCCTCACACTGTAGCTGGTCTTGTGACTGGACATTCTGAAATCTGGAGGGGTTTCTTCTGGATGAGTCTGGGAAGGTCAGACCAAAATGGCTCGGGTGGCAATGCAGGCAGCGAAGGCAGGCAGAGGGAAAGAGACCAGAGTGGATAGAAGGGAGAAGAACCAACCGAGGAGTTTTAAAGCCTGTGGCTGTGGGAGGGAACTGTGGTGAGCTGCCATTGGCTCGTGAGTCTGAGTGAGAGAGGGAGGCGGGGCTGTAACACAACACTTCTATGACACATTGTCCACTCATTCAAAACCATTACCTGTTCTCTCTACAAGCTTGTCTTTGTTGATAGAGAAACCCAGGTCTTCTGAGAGCACTGTCGAGTGGTTGTATTTCTGTTATCTCCTGCTTGTTTGGCTGTGTGAGAAGGAAAAACTGCTCAAAAAACCTCACAGCTGATTCAATAGGTCTCTTGAAAATATAAATGATCTACATCCTGCACCTGCGTATACCAGAAAATAATGTTGTGTGTAGGTGGGAATGTGGGGAGGTATGCACTGCTGGTTATCTCAACAACTATAATAACTTTGACAACAATTTACATCTGCTCTGCTATCATTTTCTTTCCCTGCAGCAAATTTTCTATCACTTTGAACTAGTTCCAAATGCATCATTTGTGACTTTATAGTGAAAAACTATATGGCAATTTACACATCATAACGTCACAAAATGACTAAAATGATTTGAAATAAATTGCAAAATGATCGCTTCCAACTCGTCATATATTGTTGCTAAGGCTGGCCCTTGTTAACAACCACAGTCTCTGCAGTGTTAATAAACGAGTTGGAAGGGTGTTGGTAGGCTCATCTTTTTTTTCCGGTCTTTATGCTAAGTTTAGCTCATCTAACTCTTTGTAAGAAAGCAGAAAGAAAGTTTTACATTATCCAGAGGGTTTGAGGGGTCATAAATGCTGCATGGAAGAGCAGCTGGATCTCATTCTGGTCAGCTTATAGAATGTTTTGCTAGCTGTGGTGGCATGACAAACGTTTTTTTCAACGTTTTGAATACTTTAGTGCTCAACATTTCTTGCTACGGGATACAGAACAACTTGTCCTGCTCTAAATTCAACACCACGTGTACAGTTTTACGGGCATGTGTCTGCAAACCAGGTGAGCTGCACCAACCAGCTGTCAAGAGGTGTGTTAGTTTCATGCCATTCTGACAGAGGCTCTTGAAGAGAGATTCAATTTCAAAGTCCAGAGTTTATACTTTAATACAACTCTTTGTTCATGTGCGTTTATATCTGGATACGTGGCGAGCACCTTAGAGTTATGATGCATCATTGGTGTCTGTAAACATCGGTTTATAATTCATACTGGCGCGTATTCCGAAAAGGACTACTTACTGTGCAAACGCTAAAGAATTATTGCGGCACACTGAAAACAGGGCTACTGTTGGTCTCATTCAAATCCTGTTTTCCACCATGCAGCAGAGTGTAGCTATGGCGATAGACATGCCGGTTGTAGCCTCAACTGTCCTTCCACCAATACCGGCCCTGCGTTCCTCTCCTCCCCCCCTTTTAATTCCTCTTTCAGTCCCTCACCACGATGAGTCACGGGTACTGGTGATACTCATCCAAACCCCCCTCCACCACCATACACTCTCCCCCGTACCTTCTCTAACCCAGACTCGTTTTCCTGCCGTTAGCTCTTGGCCTCATTATCATCATGGAAACACACCCAAATTAAGTCCTCCCCCCAGTCCCTTTCAGCCAAAATGGATGCCAACCTATGAGAGAGGCACTGGCGACTGCAGGGCACAGGGTTGCAAAGCTCAAAGCTCCAAAAAAAGAAAAAAGAACATGTGACAATATTGACACAATCTTGTGAGTTTGAAATCCCGTAAGAACCATAAATAAACTGATCCAAAGGGCAATCCCCACTCTGCATTGTGAAATTCACATGGCTGCAGTGAAATGATGGTGATCACCATCACTGGGTTTTGAGTCATGCAGCTATGTTCCAAACCCAGGGAAAGCAGAACTGATGCTTCTCAGGGAGCTTGGAAGTTAATAGAATTTCAACAGTGAATTGTGAAATTAACTTTGGTTGATCGTATGCTATCTTACCACTCTGGTCAGGCTGAAAGTGAACAATAAAACTAAATACTTTCATCATGACAGCAATTTAGAAACAAGCGACCACACATGCTTTTTTATCCCATTGTTAAGTACATTATCAAATGTAATATGTAGAATTCAGAAAAGTGTATTTTGCCTATTTTTTGCATTTGGTTTGAATACTTGATAAGAGGTTACAACAAGTTTTTCTTTGCAATTACAACGGATATAAACTACTGTTCATTTTATTTACAGTATTTTTAGTATTGTACTTTAGTAGTACAGTATCTATATTGCCTGCATTTGACAGTGTGATACAGATTTCCTCTCACTTTAATTTTATGAATGCAATGGTCTCCTTGCACCTCCAGTTTTGTGTTTGTATTTTTCCATCCCTGCTTTTACCCATTTCTTCTCTTTTTAAATTGACTTACTGTAGATGATTAGATGGCTGTTAATATCAGGATATTAGGAATCTGGATAAAGATTTTTTCAGAATAACATCTTTGAATAACAAAAAATGTAAAGAACTGAAAAATATGGCAAATGGGAAAATCTAGTCTAATGGACAAGATGGAAGATGTGATTATGAGCTGTCCTTCAATTATACTTGTGCACTTTCTTCAAGTAGGCCCAAAGCCAGTTTAAATTACCATCAATTATGGAATGTGATTTGTCCCTTTGGACATTTTAGTGGTCTATGGTCTGTGCTCGGGAAATACACAGTATGTCAACATTGAGACCTATAGCAAAATACTCAACTGTTTTTTCTTGAAGCATCTGCTTCATTTTACAACAGTAAAAACAGGCTTCCCATCATATTTGGACTGACTGACACAACAAAAGGGTGCAACAACATCTCTGGTGTTGGAATGAGGTGATAGTTTCCTTTGGACTTTGAGCTATCTACTCTGCGTTGGGCGGTAGCTGAATCACGACATGCCTATCATACATTCCATTCACCTCAATCAATGGCAATGAGTCTTTCATCAGGGACCCGTCACATGCCTGGTCTCTCATTACAACATCAGTGGTTGTAATCTGCAGACGAGTCGCGAGCTTAGCTGTCACTGATATTTCTTGGTTGATGGACCTTAACCCTGTGGGTGCGCTCAACAAACATTTGCAGGAGAACTGCAGCTCTGCACAAAGTTGTCAGAAGGCGTGTCTGAGTGTTGCGGAGATAATGTAGATAATGTGTGTCGGTGGTGGAGGGTGGGTTGGGGGAGTGGAGGGGATGCAATCACCAGAACAAATTGGCATTCTATGTTTCTGCAAGGGGCATATGATGAATGTTGGAGTCTCTGAAAAGAATATGCCAGAAAATCCCACTGCCGTGTGGTTGACACTGTGACGCTCAACCGAACTACTTGGGGAGGTTGAAACTTAAAAAACAACTTAAGTAACTAATAAATAATGTTGGGTATGTAATGTTAGGTTAAAGTTAGGTTTAGTTAAGTTAGTTAAGTTTACTTTTGGTTTTATGCAAAACACAATCAGCATTTTCCAGTGTGAAAGCCCTGTTAGACCTCCTTCGAGGCATTTTTTTGCTCATTACAGTATACTCGCTACTAACAGCAGTAACTTATGGGGCGCCGTTTGTATAATGTTGCACGTTCTAAAATCCTGCGCAGTTTTTCCACATTTAGCATTATCATATGAACAAAAAAGCCCGACAATATTCACATGTCACTTCTTCAAACATTTAGAGAGAAATTCATGTACATTCATGCAATAACTTTTCCAAGGATAAGGTTTGGCAGTAACAAAGTTGTTAAATAAAAAAGTTATTGGAAAAGTTACTGCATGAATGTACATAAAATGTGGAAAAACTGCGCAGGATTTTGGAACGTGCAACATTTTACAAACGGCGCCCCATACATAGTAACTTGCTCCCAACCGATGCAAAAAGTTTGCCATTCATTGTATCTGTGGTTTGCCGAAACGCACCAGGCCAACATTTTCTCCCCGACTAAGACTGGGCTGATAATTGTGTCTGGCTCGTTTCATTGCAGTGTGTCTTGAGTTCAAGATCAACTTCAAGCAGCCTTTCCTGGCAGGATACAGAAAAATGACCCTTCACATTGAACCACCCTTCTTATGTTGAGGCCCTATTGTTTTGCAGCTGAGCCTTTTACAGCACTAATGAGTGATGGACGGCCCTAATGCTGAGACCGACAGGTTTTCTTTCCTTTTCTCTAGGGCAGCAGGTTCTTCCAGGTTCTTCTGGATACATCTTAGATAAGAAAGTTTCCCTTAGTGGCCTATAATGCAACGTTAACAATGTGTAGACTGAGCCATTGTTCTTGTCCTGCCATGTTGCTTTGTGACTGAATCAGGACTCAAAAAGGTGAAATGCCAGAAATGATGGTGAGGTTAACAAAAACAAATGTTTAAAAGCATGCAAAGTTTCAGAGATTCTAACATTTATATCAACCTTTCAATGAACACTGTCCTTAAATCAATGTATCATTAAAAAGGGTTTCTGTCACTATGAGTAACAAAATAATCTAACCTGACCTGAGTTCTGTCCAAAAGATGAGAAAGAGTGGGATCCACTCACATAATGAAAAAACGACAATGAAAGAACTCCTTGAAAATAATGCAAATTATTCCAAAGTAAATAATATCACGTGTGATGTCATAAATACACCTCATCCGTCTGTCATTGGCTGTTCTGTACACAGCGATGCGACCAAAGTGCACATTGCAATGCACAAAATGCAAAACATATAAAGTAATGCAACATTTCCTGCACCGAAACACTACATGATCTTGAATTAGTGCAGGTGCTGTGGGGAGTTTATCATTTTAAGGAGACTTTTCAGATCTTTCATCGGAACATACTCGTCTTTACTTCAGAAAGTTCTTCTGTTAATATATTGAATACCAGTATTGTCAAAATCCAACTGTGTTTTGCCTTAAACAGTGTGTACTATAAATAGATGACTGCCTGTGTGGATACCGCGACCCGACCCCGTATAAGCGGCAGAAGATGGATTGATGGATGCCTGTGTGGATAGGGTTCTGGGAGAGAACTGTATTGCCTGTGACAC